ATGTCGTATGTGAAGATGAAGAGAGTTTTTGCTTGTCTGAAGAAAACATGAATTCACTCAAAGTCCTCCTTCACCAGGTACAACAAAAGCTGAATCTGACATACTATAAACATTATTAAGTAATTGTGTAATACAGTATTTATCATTTCAGTTGGAGAGCAGAAAGGCAGAGAATGAACGTGTTTGTGACTCTTATCGGGAGAAGATCCATGAACTATGGGAAAGGTTGCAGATTCCACAGGAAGAGCGTGATGCAATTTCTGAACACATGACCCTGTCAAAGAAAATAAATACGGAAGCTGTTAGTAACCTTTTGACAATTTGCTTCTATGAAAAAAAATATTTTAAACCTGTTTTTCTCCCCTTACCTCAATTATACAACGTTGCATGAATTAAGGCTTCCAAATGTCCAGTCATTGTATTGAACACAGATGATTACATTTTTATGTCCTCTACTGTCAGTTACAAGCTGAGGTTAAACGTCTTGAAGAACTGAAGCTTAAAAATATTCAGAATGGTACCGAGGACATTCGGAACGACATTGCAGTCTTCTGGGATAAGTGCTTTTATAGCACTGACCAACGGCAAGCTTTTGTGCCCTATTATGATGGTGAGTTGTCATTTTTCTGAATTACACTGTTGACTGTCTTTTGTAATGAAATAAAGGTTTAAAGGTTTTTTCTTCTCTCAGATGATTTTAGTGAGGAACTCCTGAGTTTGCATGATGCAGAAATAGTGTGGCTTAAACAGTATTATGAGGATCATAAAGATCTTTTTGAAGGTGTTCACAAATGGGAGGAAAGCTGGAGACTTTTTTTAGAGCTTGAAGTAAGTTGAACTGGCTGAAAATATTCATCATGTTTTTGCATCACCTAACACTTTATGTTTTGTGGTAGGAAAAGGCCAAAGATCCAGCCAGATTTACCAACAGAGGAGGAAACCTTCTAAAGGAGGAGAAACAACGGGCTGATCTGGTCAAAGGTCTCCCCAAGGTAATTATGACACATGTATTGAGGGATACACATCTGTACACTACCATACAAAAGCTTGGGGTGAGTGAGATTTAAAAAAAAAAAAAATATTATTTAGAGCCCGACTGATATATCGTTTAGCCGATATTATCAGCCGATATGAGCCTGATTATGCCGCCTATATGAACATTTTTTTAACAATATATAACGCAGATTAAAGGGGTCATATGATGCTTTTTTAAAGATCATTATTT